CAACAGATTTTTATTTTCCCCTGAAGTTCAGGGAGGACAAAGATGAGAAATGGAGGGAAAGAAATAAAGGCTTGTAAAAATGTTAAGACTGGTGTTGGCAGGAGAACACAGCTCAAAGTATTTTGAAGCACCAGGCAGAGTCTCTACAGAGGCACCACTGTGCAGGAGAAGGAAAAGTCCTCCTCCTTTGCTCACTTCCTGCAATCCTTTTGCCTCCTTCTATCTCTTATCACCTAACCCACGCCTTTCCTCTCAAAATAGCTCAGATCCAACGCTCATTGAAGGAGCGCGTCCGGTGTTGTGTAAGGTGGGTGATCCATGTTGGCTCAGGAAGGTGAGCCCTGCTCAGCCACCCTGCAGCACGGGGAGGTTCTAAAGCACAGCAAAGGCTGCAACTCTCTCCCCCATGCCCAGGATGCCCAACTGTACAATGGCATCCTCACACTGCCACGAGCAAAATACCTACGCTCCTGTTTTATTCCAACAGTGTCATTTCATATCAATGTCACAAATTGCCTGAAATCACTGCCAAGTGACACCCAGTTTTACCTAGTGCCTTACCACCTTTGTGCTCAAACAATGCAGGTAATCTGACAGATTTCCAGATTATTAACTACTCCAAGGGACAATTGCACACAAAACTCACCAGTTATAGCTCTTGTTTGTAACCTTCTGTACCAGAGAAATCAGAGTTCAGGAAGAAGTTCAGAACTTTTGAGCATAGGCCCATCTGGCCTATACAAACAAAAATTTCACTTAATAACACAGATCTGAGGATTTCAACCAGTTTTAGCTTTCCAGAGAAGCAATGATAAAAATTATCAATTCTGCATTGGCCCCTTTCCCAGGAACTAGAACACTTCTAGGTTACTTTCAAAACAATGGAGAACAAACCTGAAGCAAACACTCAAGTGTGGTGTTCAGTACTTTGCCTGCTGAGGATGTGTTCAGGTGTACGACCTGCCTGCTTTGATAAAATGGGACCTTGGATTTGAGGTCACCTTTGGCAACAATTTTTCTCTTATTTCCTTCTCTCCCTGCAAAACAAACAGACATTTATTATTTGGGCAGCCCTACTTTAAACACATTTTCACCATCCATAGTGAGGGATAGCCTAGTGTTAGTGTGCCCTAATTATCATATCATAAAAAGGCTTATCAACAGGTCCCTTCCAAGCAGTTGCTGGAGCCGTGAACTTCTTCATTTGTTGCCCTCAGATTTTTGTCAGGGTCACAACCTGAGCAAAGGAGCGTACAGGAGTAAATCAGGCTCCAATGGAATCAAACCTGTTCCAAGGCTGGAAGGACTGAGGAAGAAACAGAACCAGTCCAACTGCTCACTACCTTGGATCCTTCCTCATCCACCCAACTGTGGCATGCACCCTTTCCCTTGCTAAATTCCTGCACCTAAGAAATGGAAGAGGAGCAGAGACCTCAAAGACTGGATGAACTGAGCAGCAGCACCACTTCAGGTACAGATTGTATTAACTTCCAGGTGAGAAACATGTTCCATCCAGGAGACAGCCAGCTACCAAGCACTCTTCCCTCATCTTGCTCTTGGCTGCCACTCCTCTCCTGCAGAAGTACTTCCTTCTCTCTGGTGCAATCAGGAGGTCTCTGCAACAGGTTTTCCTCAACACCTCCATCGCACAGGGCTGTCCCTGGTACGCTCCATGGCACAGAGCACCTGCCAGTGAGCACCCACACTCTAAAACCAGGTGACAAAAGCCACTGCACACACTTAAACCACCACTAAAAAGGCACATGGACACAGACAACCAGTGGAACATCAAGTTCAAGGCCTCAGGAGAAGGCCACACGCACATAGAGAAGATACACCATTCCCTGACCACAAGAGGTAATGTTTCATAGGCAGGAGAGAGACATAGCAACCAGAATCCACATACTTCCCAAGCCACTGGGTAACACAGTCCTTGCAACTCTTCAAACACAGAGGACTTGCTCAATAACACCATCTGGTACCCCATGAAATTCAGGCAAGGAAACCTTGCACAAATCCACTTGAGTCAATCACCCCAAAACACCAGCAACAAAAGCCTAGGTACATTTCCTGGCTTAGCCTAACTATTTGAACTTCTCCAAAACCAAAGCAATGGACAGCATTCTGAACCAAACCAAACACACCGGGAACTTGTGCACCTCATAGACCTTTGCACAATGTGGTGCTCAACCCACAGGACCTGCCAGAAATAACTGAGCTAATGTGAAGCCTGCTCCTAAGAAAGGTGACATTTCATGTATCATGAACAGGATGCCCACTAACCTGACAGTTTTACAGACATGCCAGCAATGAAGGGAAAAGGTGAGCAGAAAATGGAAGGCAACAGGAGGACATAACAGACTAGAAAGTTTACTAGGGAAAAACCTAAAAAGAGATGTTGGGGAGAAACAAATTCTAAGTTCTGCTAAAAGAAAAACAAGAGTTTAAGAGCTACAGATTATTTAAAAATCAATCAAATACTTCTCCCAAGGAAAAAAATGCTAGCTGGTACTAGGGAAAGAGATGATCCTACCTTGCCTCAGTAAATACCTACGGGTATATATCCCATGTACCCATCAGACCTAGCACCACCAGTAGCTGCAAGCAAGATGGTGAAGCATGGTTTATTTCAAATGCACAACCACACAGTTACTGCATTGCCAAAAAAAGGAATTTACAGATACCAAACTCCCAAAAGCAGTTTTATGCACCTCAGCATCCAAAAAGGATATTTTACCTTAAGCTATTTCTGAACACAACACCCTGTTCCAATGAATGAAAAAAAAAAGATGCAACTTACCTTGCCAAGTCCTAATTTATGGATTTGTTGAGATAAACACAACTGAAGCTCTCCACTTGATAAATTTTGGTTCTATTCAGTACCCAAATGATTGATGCTTTCTGATACTATTTTTTTAGTTACAGATGCAAAATCTCCTCCTCAGAATCCAAATAGTAAAGTAAGGTGTTCCCTTGGGCAGGCAGCATGAGAGGCCATGTCTCTGTGCACGTGCAACCCAGAGCTGCTGCAGACACTTTTATTTACTGCCCAGTTATGAGGAGACTTAAGAATCCTCTACCACATGACACTTAATAAAGGCTAGAGATCTCAACTGGATTAGGATTACTCAAGGGATTATGAATGAGAAATACAGCTTGTTGCCCTCTCTCATCCTAGGAGTCAGCTCTTACACACTTGCAAGCTGCCCTCTGCTAAATGCAAGCTTCTGGAGGAAAAATAATTCAAGGTTTCACCCCTTATTTGTGTTGGGCTGAAAAACTATTTGGTGCTTTGTAGCTAGGGGATCTCTAGTGCAGAAAGGAAGGGATGTGGAAAAAGCAAGGATAATTATTCAAAATTCCAGGGCTTGAGAAAGCAGGAAAATCACTACTCTTCCCAGTCTTTAAAAAGTATACACACAAAGACCAGGCAACATAAATACTTACAGGATGTTTTGGTCCAGTCTTTCTCGGTCAAAACTCGCACAAAGCATCCAAACCAACCAAAAAAACCCCAAGCACTGCTACATTTTAATGTTTCCACCATGAAGATCATTTTGTTTAAAGTATTAACAATTGCATTTCTGCATTTTCAATCAAATTTCAGTTCTTACCACAAGTACCTTAGCTACTTGCAGGTTAAATTATGTGAGTTGTAAGATATATTACTCAGCAGTTGATCAGTATCTATAGTTTTAGCTCATCATTGAACTAAAACCAGGAAGTTCTATATCCTTTGGGTTAGCAGAAAAACATTCAAGGTGGCAGAAAGGCTTTATTCTGTTGGCAGTCAGCCTCTTAGAGTGTTGGCTACCACAGAAAACGCAAGGCTTTCAAGAAAGTAATGTATGAGGGGAAAAAAAAATAATCTACATTCCTCACTTGTTTAAACCTCATAACCCCAAATAGCTGCCAAGCCACAACCACAACAGCAGAATCAAATTGCTTCTTGAATCTTCCTAGGTACTAACAATTTAGATATTCCAGATTGTTTGTACACATGTAAACAAACATTGGGCCAAATTTATATACCAGAGCATCTGGGCACACCCCTGCCAGAGGATCATCAGCCTAATGCTGCAGAGGTCAGGATGACTACACAAAGCCACACCTGCAAGGATCCTGTAGCTGTGGGCAGCTGCTATTTAAAGAAAACCTGGTGGGATCACAAATCAGTGCCTACTCTGTGAACTAAAGCAATGGCATTTTCTGGAATCTCAAAGATAGTGAGCATTTTAAAATCTTGCTCCAAGGACTCCTCAGCTTTATCATCTGGCTGCTGTACATGGCTGTCTAAACTGGGTCAAGGCAGAGCTTGCAGCACTTATCCAGGCAAGAGAGGATGCAGGTAAGTAGGTTATGAGGCTCAGCACAAGGAGATCAAGGGCCCTCAGCTCCAGAAGGTGCTCTCAGAGCAGTTTGCATAACCAGTGCACACCCACCACAGCATGGATCTGCAAGTGGTGCTGTCACCTTCACACAGGTGACATTCTGGCCAGTGAAGAAGGGCACTTTCCAGCTTTACTTGAAGGCATCCACTGACCTCGACTCTTCAAATCCCTCAGTATTTCTGGAGTACATTTAAGTGTCTAAACTCAGTACACAGTCACAGCACAACCTGACAAAAGCCCCACTGCTCTGCACTGTAAAACAAGGTGTTAACTTTTACTGCAGGTAACTTGATCTGAGTGCACAAAACCAAATGCAACCTTTAACCTCACTGCTACCCCACACAACCTCCTCTCATCTACCAAGGAGAAAAGTGCATTACCACAATTCCTGAAACAGCTTCTGATGAATTAAATAACTATAAATTAAATACATGTTTCTACAGCTCTGTATGCAGCTGACAGCTGCATCTGCCCCTGCTAGGCCCAGGATCAACAACTCCTCAAAGGTGAGGGAAAAGGATGATGACCTAGAAGTAACCCCACAAGCCTTCATACATCAAGCTATCAGCTGAATATTTTTATTTAATTATTTCAGACATACAGGCTAAGTAATTTACAAAACATTTATTAGTCAGTACAGAAGTACATAGATAGCAGTTGCACAACTCATACCAAAAATAATACAAGCCACTTTTATCCATCAACATCTACTAGAGCATCAATTAAATTACAAGGAACTTCAAACTTTCATTGCAGGTCATTAACAGGACCACCTGCAACACCCAGAAGAGTTAACAAACCACTGTTTCCTGAATGGTTCATATCCTTCATGAATCAAAGCCACTGTATTGCTCTCAGGAGTGATTTTAAAAGCATATGTTAGTCTTGCACAGCTTCAGCTTCTCACTCAGTGTGGTGAACTAGAAAAACAAGCAAGAGAGCACAGGTTTCTCCAGAGTTAAGTGAAAAACAAGTTCTACACAATCGCTAAAAAGAATTATTCTTGCTAAAATCATATCTGACAGAAATGCTACAAATATAATAGCAATAGTATTTTTTAAAACCTCTTTAAACTGGAATACAGCTTCTTTGTGCTCTTGCCAAGGCCATGCAACCAGTTTGTTGGCATAGAAATGCTCATATCTCTCTGAAGCTGTCTCATGAGGCAGCTTGTGAGCTCAAGAACTTGAACTTGTTCTGTACATTGACAGGACAAAGCCCCCAGAGGATGCTGCTCACATGCAGTCACTGGTGAGCAGCCACTACCAACCAAGTTTGATTTTTCTTGGTGCTAATGCACCATCCCCTCCTGCTGGGATTCCTGTTATCCACCTGACAACAATCAAGTCCCACAGTGGGGCTGGTAAAAACAGGTAAAACATTCCCAGAGGCAACCTCTAGCTTTAGGTTACAGCTTCCATCCCTTCCTCTCCGATCAAAACTCCAAGATAGTCTCCAAGAGTTTCACAAGGAAAGTCAGTATTTAACTCCCTCTGAAACAACAAGGGAAGGTATTTATCCAAGAATTGACACTGCGTCAGAGTGCCACTGCAATGCTTTGTCCCTCAGTGACTCTGCAGCTGAAATGGTTGTGTAAGCACAGATGCCACTTACACCTCTGCCACCTTGTCACTCCCCAGTTCTCATCCACGTCTGGTACCGATGCGGAAGCGCAGCACTCATGACTGTGGTGTACACTGTGTTACTGGCAGGGAAAGAGCAACAGAGCGAGTGAGGGACATCCCAAAGGCAGGAAGGGGAATCCATCTAGCCAGCACACTCATGACTGTGGTGTACACTGTGTTACTGGCAGGGAAAGAGCAACAGAGCGAGTGAGGGACATCCCAAAGGCAGGAAGGGGAATCCATCTAGCCAGCAAAGCAGCCAGACAAGTACTTATGGAAACAAATATTCTGCTTAGGTACACAAGGATTAGGAGAAGAGACTGATTAATTTAAAGACTGCTGGCACTAATTTTTAGTGTTCTTTCCTCAACACAGCACAACAGAGGAAGTGTATTAAACAATTGCTACTGTATCTGTGTCACAGCTGAGATGAACCTTTTCCTTTCCCCATTACCTCACATCGACAAGGCAGAGGAGAGCTGGAGGAAGCCATTGCCAAGCTCCAATGACAATGACTGACACAGAGAATATGACCAAGCTCCATGTAAAAGTAAACCATAACATGGTAACCTGCAAAAGTGCCATTTCTGGAACAGCATGGAAGAATGGTTTACTGAAATACATCTCTTGGAAATCCAGTAAATGGTATCTAGAAGTTTTATCCCACTTCCTTTATTGCCAGTTAATCAGATCTCTATCAGAACATGCAGAAAAAGCTACTGTCAGTGTTAACACAAACCCAGAATTTCCAAAAGTGGGCAATGGAGTCCGTGTGACACCCAGCTCCTCCAAAGGAGTAATTTGTTTCACTACTCCAAAGCCATTTCCCATTACCAGACTGAGCTCAAACAAGTGCAGCTCCCTAACTCAAGTGGCAGACCCAAAAGGAACGGAGTTGTGCAAGTACAAGTAGAGGGTCACAAGCACAAGCCAAAATCTAAGCTGGGAAACCACAAGACTCAGACACATAAGGAAGATTCTGAAGAAGTCTGTGGTGTGCTTTCAAGTGGCCTGAGGCACAGCAGGAGGCACAGATCAACATCTCTCAATCTAATACTTACTTGTTTAAGACTGGCTTCACTGACAACACCTGTACAGAAAGTTGGAAGAGTTACCATTTGGGGACATAAAGAGGGAGGTAAATGGCTATTTAGAAACAGCAGTAGGATCAAGTTATGAAAGGACAATATAAAGTCAAGGACTTCCTGCCTTTTTTAAACATCATACCATTTTACAGAAGTACTTCCAAAGAAGCCCTCTGAAAGACATTCCAACTCCCAAAGGTCACCATGTCTAACACTAAGTGCCTGTGCTTGAAATAAGAAACTGCACTAAGTTTATGGGATTCACCTCCCACACTTTCCACCTGAATTGGTCAACTGTTACAAAATGCCTAAATAGGAGTCCAGAAGCCTTTTAAACAACTTTCAGTCTCTTCAACCCCCTAGAAGAGAGAGCTGCGCAGTAAACCTTGTTCCCCACAATAAAACACAGCTTTTACATCCCTGATAAAAGGACACTTCTGCTTTGTCAAAGAACTTGAAGAGCAACTCACAACGCAGAATTTGAGAAATACCTTAAAGAGTGTATCAAAGTTGATGTTGTGCTGTCCAGTAGCATTGAGAGCTTTGATGGCTGCAGTTCTGTGGGAAAGCAACACATTATCAATTAAACACACTTGTCTGTTCCAAAGGCTACAAAGGACCAACACAAACACCTTCTTACTAAAGGCCTTGACACTGACATGCCTGCTTGTGCCTAAAATAACCCCAAGTTGTGTGACTGGATCTCATCTCAGTGTTGAAGTTCCTGTTACTATTCCATTGAGTACATACCAATCCTTTTTTGCACACTACACAGCCTAAAAATCCCATGTAAGCACCTTCCTAGTGCCATCCAATACTTGGACACTGTCGATCTAAGTCCAAGTATTGGATGGCACTAGGCCAAAAACTTGCTCAAAGAGCAAAGTTTAGTAGAAGATTGTGGGATCTCAGCACTTGCAAGTTTTTGGCCTCTGCATTATCTTTGCCATTTCTCATTACGCTAATCACTGTCTCACACCCTTTCATCTGTGAGTATTGCTCTACACCACATGTACTCCCTTCAGAGTGGCTTCACAGGAATTTAATGAGCTGCCTGCTCAAGGAGCAAGCACCTGCCCATACCTTCAGCCACTTTCAAACTACATGCTCTCCCCCCACAGAGCTTCCAACCAATTTACCTGCGATCATCCAAAGGAGGAGGGGTAGTCCAGTGATCATAGTTTGTCTCCACACGGAACCACCTGCAACAAGCACGTCAGCAAACAAAAGTTGACTCAGCAGGTAATGCATGAAGTCCAACAATCAGTATCCCTGTATTGCCAAGAGGAAAGAAGTCCCTCAAAAGGCAGCTCCCTCCGCTTCTGCAAGCCCAAGAGCCCCATGCTGGTAGCTGTAACAGCCTTTACCATGAACTATGGAACACAGGAATGGGGTGGGTGACCTCTTATCTCCTGCTGCAACCGTGACCAAGAGGTGACCCAGATCTCAAGGAAGTTGTGCCACTAACCCAGTCACTCAAAAGGGAACATGACAAGCAAAAACCAAGTATTTTTTCCTACTTACGCTCCACTTAAGGGATCAAGAGGCCAGAGATCTGCTGGCCCTCTTCTATTCCTCGTTATGACCATGCCTTCTTTGGGTGAGATGCCTCCCACAATATAGTAAACCTCAGCAATGATGGGAATGTCAGCCAGTCTGAGAACAGCAGACTGGAAGTCCTCTGCTTCACTCAGGGTCTAACACAAAAAGGAGATGACAATGAAGTTAAGCACAAAAACAAACACTGGAACACCTTCAAAAGATAAAGGTCCAGCTTTTCTGAAAATAGTAATTGACTCTGAAGTGCTACTTGAAAATCTTAATATAATATCATAACAAATAGCATAAAATAACCCCCTGCACAGGTATCCACCATCCAGGAGTACAGCTGTGTTACCTGGTTATGACACAAGTCACAGCTAGTTGAAACACTCCCTAGGAAGGAAGTCTTGGCACAGCTTCTCCAGGACCTTTGGCACTGGAGGTTTCCCTCCAAAAGGACTGGAATGGCCTCATTAGTGAGTACAGGGTCCACACTTAGTTTCTCCTGAGAAATTCATTTGCTTATCAAGCTGCCAAGTCTTCTGTGCCACTGATTTTAATTTACTAGATGTTTGAGGACAAATGTGGTATAATTGTGAAATGTAAGATCCACTCATTGCACTTACATCTCGCACAAGCCAGCTGACTGGGTAATTCCTATTGAGGAAAGCAGCTATGGCATTTTCCCACCATCTACCACCATCTGGGGAGGAAAAAAAAAAATTACTATACATGGAATTTATATACAGTGAGACAGGGTAGGTGCCTATCAGCACTAAGTATGAACATTTTACAGGAGAAATGCCAACAAGGAGCACACCCTTCAGGTGAAATATATATAGACAACTTAATTCCAACTGACAGTCAGCCACAGCAGCTGGAATAACACCCTGCTTTCCAGAAACCATCTCAGACCTGTCATGACAGGAGTGATAATCACCTCATTACTCACCTTATGGAAATATTAGAAGAGGAATAATTTCACAAAAACAATAAAACAGCTAAAGAAGAGGTAGTGAGAGTGTTTATGCTACTGGGAATAATAAGCAAAGTGCAAAACCAGAAGACCAAATTTGTTACTACTTAAACACACTTTGCAAAGCACAAAAAAATAAAAAAATCAGTCTGCTTGTCACTTGATAAACCCTGATCCTGATTTAGTCATCGCCAAATTTGTTACTACTTAAACACTTCGCAAAGCACAAAAAAATAAAAAAAAGTCTGCTTGTCACTTGATAAACCCTGATCCTGATTTAGTCATCCTGCTTCCCCCAAGAGCCACATGCTCACTTCCCTCAATTTGCAGTTGAGTTGGAATGAAGTGAAAACAGCTTTCCCTTCAGAAAAACCAGCAAGCAGTCAGCAGCAGCCCTGACAGAACTGCAGCACGTGTGGAGCGAACATCGGATGTGGAGAGACACAGGACTTTGGTACACAAGCTTTCCTCAACCAGGCATTTCAAGAGACTCCAACACCTAACACTTGCCTTTAAGCTGAACTAAAAGCAGTTTGTCCCAGTAAGTATCAGCCCAGGACACCCCAGTTTTGAAAGCATTAAGTAACTACTCTGGAATCAGAAGCAGTGTGCATGTAAACTATGGAAAGAATTTAGTGAATCCAACAAGGCAGCATTGGCAAGGCAAACGGGAAGCAAGAGGTGCAAGTGCTCCATAGCAGGATCCCTACTCAGAGATAATGCTCTGGTGGAACACATACAGTGAATATTGTTTGCATAGCTAAGGAGTTGAAGTACAGATTGTTCAAGATGAAAAATGCTTATCGCCATCACAAGGGAAAAATAAACGTTTTAGATGTTGGTTCTGAGAATACATTATTGCCAGTTCTAACAGTCACCTAAAAGAACAAAACAGTATCAGCTTCTTAAAAGGAATACAGGGAAGAGACAATTTCCCAAGCTTTGAGTTGGACATAACTGTCATTACTTGTGAAACTGAAGGAAACCCTGATGAACAAGGCAGTGACCTTCCCCTGCCTTCCCCACTGCTACAAGCTTGAGTTCTCACTACTGGCATCTCTCAACTCTGCTCTACTACTGATCTTGCTTAACTGTCTTTCTGGTGTCTCCTGACACTCCCTCAAGGCATGTTGCCTTTCCCCTAGATCTTCCCCCTCTTTCCAACTGCCTTGAGGCCAGACAACCATGGAATACAGCAGAACCAGGAGAGGAGCCATTTCTTTGCTGTCCAAACTGCATCTTGCTGTCTCAGCCCCATCTCTGCCACCTCCAATGGTGTCTCTTGGCCAAACCACACCTTTTACAGCATTCCCAAGGCTTTCCCCCATCCTTTGACACTTTGAGCTCAGGTGACACTGCTGACAAATATTTTCTCCTACACAGCAGCCAAAACCAGGCATGTGTGCTTTCACTCCCTGAGGGCAAGTCAAGGCATTCCACCTCCTATCCTTCTTGGCAACCTTAACCTCATTGCTCCCTCTGGGAGAAAAAGGCCAGGGCAGGCAACAATCAACAACAAGACACAACATCTGCTGTGGGAGACACTCCCTTTACCTCGTTCATCCCCGGAGATGGTGAACTTGTGTGGACTCTGCCCAGTCCACAAGCCTACGTAACCAAGAAATGTCGTGCCCTGGTACGCAACCTGAAACCAGGAAGGAGAGCAGTTGAGCATTCCAGAACAGTTGGAACCTGCAGCCTGTACTACTTTCTATAGCTTTCATACCTACATTACTAGAGCACACTGCACCTTCAGTTACAGGAAAACATGCCAAGTAAATTAGAGAGGGACTCTGAGGCCTCAAACTCACAGCATTTCAGTTGTTTGTGATCACTGACAGCTACAGGACTTCTGCTCAGGTTAAACTGCCAAGCAACCAACAATAACTTTTCTGTTTACAAAATGGACTAATGAAGGTTAAAAAAAAAAATCAGACTCACAAAACTGTACTAGCAACTAATTCTTTTTTGGAAATATTTGTCTTAAGACACTTATTGGTCACAGAAATTCACAAGGTCTAAAGAAAAACAAAGTGCCTTAGAATTGGTTCCTACCGAAACTGATCTCTTTGCCATATTCCCTAATATCTCTTTTTTAGCATCTCTTAGAAATAATATCTTCAATACCAGATTAAACTGTTCTACTTTTTCCAGTCCATCACCATTAACTGGATGTTCAGTAAGGAAAGAAAATCAGCCTTCATCCCACACTGCTGGGGCATAACTGTGCTGCTCTAACAATCCAGTGTATATGGGATAAAAAACCCATTCCTACATTAAACCCCCCATCTAAGCAGCTATGGGGCTGTCCCATTCTTCATGGAACACCACCCAGCCATGCTAACCCCAGAGCATACCTGCCCACCCTTGATGAACTGCACATCCAGTGTGATCTTGCTCAATATATCGACAAAATCGTAATCCAGGTTCCGACCGTGGTAAATGTTGCCTTTGTCATCCTGAGCCACAATGCTGGTACAGAACCTGCAAACAGAACAGGGCAGGGAATGACTGAAGGCACAGCTCTGGCACTGCTTGCAATACGCCAGCTGCAGGAGCCCAGCCTTTCAGGAGTAACTGAGTTGATGCTCTGCTAATTGTTTAATTAATGTTACCGTGCCATGAGGAGTCCAATACCAGTCCACAGCAGGTCAGAATTACAGGGCAAGCAGAAAGCAGCACTTCCACTTGGGAAAAACAATTATTGCATTTAACTTTTGTAAGCCATAATGAAAAGCTAACATCTGAAGGCATCCATAAAGTGTCACACTTCCTGCAGTTATTTCATTTCCATTTGGACTGTCTATAATTTTAATCACAAGTAGATAAGTTCAAATTAAGTCCTAGCAGTAAAACTGAAGAAAATTCATTCATGTATCAGCCATTTCAATAACAGACTATTCTCTAGAACAGGAAGAGTGCTCTAACTCCTTGTGTAACAAGTTCAGTTTCATTAGAACAGGTTTTTTTTTTTGTGGAGTATATTGCATTAGCAGGGAATTAAATTATTTTCTCCGTTGGTTCTGAGTTGGTCATTTCAATGATGCATAACTCTGACTCTCAAGAATATAAAGGCAAACAATTCTTCACATAAATAGGCTATTCCCAGTTGATGGGGGTTTTCTACTATCCAAGCCCAGAAACTGAATTTCAGGGGCCTCACCGGGGCAAAGTATGGCAAGTATCCTCTGTGAAACACTAAAGAGCCAGCAGTTAAATATATCATATTCAATATTAATCCTTACTAAAAAAAAATTATAAACTGAGTACTACATATTAAGAAAAAAAATAATCCAAGTGCAAAGAAAGAGCCATATGCCTTGATATTCGCTAAAATGTACATGCAGAATTATTTTAGGCTCCCCAGAGGCAACACCAACTGTTGATTATTCTCTTGCACCGTGTTTCCAGGGCAAAAAGAGATACTGAAACTCAGTATTTTTTCACTGAGATTTTGTTTACTGCCATAAACATGCTACAGTCATTTTTCACTGTTTAAATCGGGAAGTGATATTACGCAGCCATTGTGAACTTTCATCCAGAAAGCAGTTTAGTAGTAACTTTATCTCAGATAAAGCAGAGAGCAACTAATTATTCTAGCCTACTTTTCGGCAATTTTTAAGTGACAGAGAACATTACATCACCTTCAAACATAAATGGTCTCTACTTTTGGATGGACATACCTTACCAGCAAAAAGGATTTTTGGATTTTAGTATGTCTATATATACGTATACGCACAAAACTATGACAGATACTGGTTGTACTTCCCGATAGAAAACATGACCGTTTCTCGTTCCATTCAGCATTCCATCTGCCAAAAAAGAAGGAAACCTTCCGGCTGAACAGATGAAGCGCTCTCAGAACCAAGAGGGCAAGTAACCCACCACGTGCCTTGGCCACGCTGAACCGCAGCTCCGCGCTCATCTGTACGAGACCATGTAAGTACTCAACACTCACGCAGTGGATTCGTAGGCGAAGTTCAGCAGGATTCCGTCTCCGATATTGATTCCCAGTGCTCTGCACATCCCCACAATCTCTCCCGCGAAGGGCTGCGGCATGAAAAGCTCCAGCTCGGCTGCTATGGGCTGGATCACCTGGTGAACCCATTTGGGTACGCTCTCGCTGCAAGACACACCGAGGGGTGAGCCGAGAGCGGCTCTCACCGGGCACCCCTGCGCTGCTCCATCAGCCCTCCCGGCGCTGCCCCGCTCGTCCCCCCGCCCGGCCGCACGCACTCGATGATCCGCTGGACGGCGGCGCGCAGGAAGGCGGGCTCGAAGTGCCGCAGCACGGGCAGCCAGCGCTGCTCGGCCGGGCTGTCCAGGCTCACGTTGCAGCGCAGGGGGGCCGCCGCCCCCGCCGCCCCGCACAGCAGCGCCAGCAGCACCCACGGCCCGCAGCCCATGGCGCACGATGGAGCGGTGGAGCGGCGGCGGCGGCGCCCCGGGGCCAGCCCGCCCCTCCCCGCGCCGCAGAGCCCGCCCCGAGGCGTCACGGCCCGCCCGCTTCGTCCCGTGCGACACGGCACCGAGCGGACACAGCGGCAGGTGCATTGCACTTGAATCAAATCTGATCCAACGCTGTCGCTTCCACAGCGAGGGCAGAGGGGACAAAGCCGCGCTTGGCAGAGATGTCAGCATGCTGGCTGACACAGCAAGGCTGTAAACAAGGGGCAAACAGGAAGAGAGGAGACCGCTGTCCTCAAACGCGGGGGCAAAAAATGACCACACTCTTTCAGTGTCAGAGGTTCATAGTTTCTGGGCACATGCACAAGAAAAGAAAGTGCTCAGCAGAAAAAACGCCCCCACCAGTACAACTGTGGTTTACAGATTGTACTTTCCTTCTCCCCGTACCTTTGGCTCCAGCCCCTGCTCCACACTCCATCCCAACAGCACTTGGGCTCCCAGCTACACGTGCTCCTCCACCTGAGCTCACTGCTCTCCCTGATGAGTACCAAACCCTGCCCTTCCCTCAGCAGGAACATACAATTTGAATAAAACAGAGCTGGAAAAAAAAAACCAAAACAAAACAAACAACCCTACTCTGTCCTTCTCTCCCTTAAGCCTCTCCTTCTCTCCCTTAAGCCTCTTTAAGGTTTTTTGCTCTAGGAAGCAGCACGACAACAAACAAAAAACCCACACAAGAAAGAATTAAAGTTATTACAAATAAGTGTTTAACAAATACCTAAGCTAAGTGAATTCCTACATGGGACATGAAGATGAATCTGGCTTCCTAAAAAGGAAAAAAGCACCCCACCAAATGCATTTCCATTGTACTGTACGTGTGGCACCTGTTTCTGCACCACAAAGAATTCCATTTCTAACAGACTTTGAAAGAGGATGGCAAAAATAACTAACTCAAGTTAAAAATACTTTATCAACTCCATTAAAACAGGTGCCTGGGGAAGGTACAAAGAACCCATTAATGGTCCCAACAGAGGTCAAAGCTAAAGCACACGGTCAACCTTGGACAAAGAATCCAAACACCCACATGACTTTGCATGTACTTGCCAAGAGACACTGGCAAGCTCCACCAAAAGGCACACCACAATAGGAAAACATTCTTTTTTCCTCTGGTATGTGATGTTACTTTTGTACTTAAATGGCAACAAAAAACCCTATCTCCCAATACACTACTTAGATTTTTCTTTCCTTAGTAAGCCATAATGAACTATTCTTCCCCAAAACGCTTGAATTAATTTTACCTGCATCACAGATGAATTTGGTATTAAATTGGTCAAAGCCAACTGCTCAGAAAACAGCTCACTCCATCTGTGCAGTCACTTCCCTGAGACATCCACATGCTTTATAGACTGACCAGAATATTCTTTTTTTCTTTCTGCTGCTTAGTCATTAATTGCCTCAAATAGAATCTTTACCATACAGTTGTGTATTTTAATACTTGCACATACAAAACCCACTGTAAGTAAATTACATGAAATAAAAATATAATTGCCTTCTTCCCTACAACGCTTTAAAAACAACATCAAATCCTCCAAGGATTAAGGCCTGTGTCCTATTGATCCAGTGTCCATCAGCTTCCACTTGCATTTCCAAACAGATCACAGCTAAGTCTGTAAGGCACCACAGTCCTCCTTTCCCTCAGGGTGATGGTGGGTGCAAATCAGCATCTCCAGGGTGACTTCAAGGGTGATGAAGCTCTCTCCAGCATTTATTTCAGCAGCTGTTTTCTCTTTTTCAGAAGTGCATCTCTAAGAGCCAGCTAACCACAAAACAAGAGGGGAATATTCAGGTAAGAAGCATAACTGAGAAAGCACCACTACCATATCAGAACTCTTTTCAATTTCTTTAACCTCTGATAAGAACACTGGGAGTTCACCAGCTCAAACTGGAAGCAGTGCAAATGCTAACAATCAGAGTGGCAGAAACACTGGGGTTATGTACATAAACTTCACAGTACAATTAAAGAGCTGGGCATTACCAAATCCTACACAAAGAAGATTAGAACAAACTACTTGACTAACTCACTTCAAAGAGAAGAGATCAAGAAAGTTAGAGTTCAGCTGAGGGGTAAGTAAAATTGGTGTTTCATGAAGGAGTATAACAAAATGGCTTTTCAAGGGGGAAGGAGGAATTTTTCTAAGTGCCATTATCACTCTAAAGAGATATTACTGTACATTAACATGTTCTAGGCTAGTAAAGGAGCTAGCTCTGGACTACAGCAAGCAGGCCACCTTAACTTACAACCAAGAAGTGCAGCAGAATGCAGCACCATACAACTAAGATCCTCCCACCCACACAAAACACTTAGGGTTAACAGACTGGCACTGTAGTGTAACTTCCATGGGGAAAAAAAAAGTATGAATAAATGCTGTTTAGCCACTCCATTTGAATTTAAAACATCTGAATGGAACACAATCTTCAGGATGTTTTTTAAAATAACTGCACCAAGTATAACTGTAAACAGCAGCTTTTTTCAAGAGCCTGGATTGTTCATGTGCAGCCTATTGGGTGTGTTTTGAGAGCTGGTTTCAATGTTGTTAGCTTTAACTGAGGTGAGGCAGAATGCTGCCAAATAAACATGTACAGAGGACACATGCTAGTAGCAGTCCACATCCTCCTGATCAACAGAAAAGCTTCAGATATTCTCTATGGAGTCCACTAATAGTCCCTGTCTTGCCCTTCCTACGGCAAGAAATTGCAGACAAATATCATTTGGATAAGGGGTATGATCCTGGAAACAACTCCAAGTTCATAAACACTCACACAAAACATCTGGGAAGAAAAAAACTGGATCATTGGATTATTCTACAAGTTTCTTGAAGGCATTTGGATGAGTTGAGTTTCTAACACCTTGTAAAACCCTAGACTGGCAGGGCTTCACCACTGAGAGCAGCATTAGTGTCAAACTACTGGAATCTCTTTCTAAACAGCAGCTACAAGTAATAAACAGCATTTGCACCTATTCCTCAGGAACATTTGTGACAAGCTATTAGATGACCTCTATGCCAGGCCAAATGAGTCTGTGATAGGTCAGACTATGGAGAGTGAGCCACAACCTGCCAAGCAGCTCTTCCTCCGGGGCAGGACTTGAGCAAGCCAAGCCACAGGCTTTGAGTTACAGCAGCAACACCTCTGCAGAGGGTAGGCAGCACCACAGCTGTACCACAAATGACTGCTCACACTGCCCCATCCATCTCCAACATCAAACATTACCTGTTTCTCCCTAAAGGAACGCTTGTTCTTGGTCCGGACGCTGTGGCTGTATCTCATCATCATGAAGTTCTTGTTCTTTTGCTTTTCTTTGTTGGAAGAGCTGGCAAATGGGTTAATCTTGGTTTTCTTTTTCACAAATTCCTTTCTGTCTGTTTTTCCAGCCTAGAATAGACAGTGTGATAGAGCAACGGGGGGGTCATTTTCCTTCACCTACTATCAACATCACCTGCCAGATGGTAACGGGTTCTATGGCAGTAACAGCCAATCTGAGTTCATCATGACTGTGTTCATACATGCCTTCTCCCATACAGGCTGTATTTGTTAAGTCACAGTGAAAATTGGGTCTGTTTGCTTTTTCATGGTCACAAGTGACCAGCAGGAGACTGTTACAGCCAAGATGCAACAGCAAAGAACCAAAGAAATCACTTGTCAAAACCCACATGGCAGCTGGGCACCTACCTTAGATATGCAGCCTCAGCATTTCCTCCTGCACAACACAAACCCAAAACCAAAAGGACAGGATACAGGACACACCAGTTCCTCACCTTTGCAGTTGCCAGTCTGGTCTCCTTGTCCGACTTGGGCTTCTTATGCAGATGTTCAATATCTCTGAGTGAAAGCAACTCCCCCCTACACACAAATCCAATAAATGTCAGCACACAAAACTTCAGCTGGCAAGGAAAAAAACGTGCCCTCTTCACCCTTTGTCTCTCACCCATCCTAGGCCACTGTCTCACCATCAGTTTAGACACAAATACTTCTTGTTCCCTTCAGGCTGCTCCTCATGCTTGGGATATCCATTACACAAGTCACCCACTCATTTTTCAAGTCCTTTTTCCACCAAGTTTAAGAAACATTGGAGCTACAACCAGGCAGCTACTGCTGCAAAACACCCCCCTCTCACGCCTGTTGGCCTGAACAAGTCAAACAGTCTCAGACCTTCCACAAGCTCCTCATGATGTTTCCCCAGGTATAAGCAAAGCCCCAGCCCAGGATCCATTCCAGGCTCTGGCTGTCACCAGGGAACACTGATGAACAGCCGAGCTCTGCACCCTGCTGCAATGAAGAGCTGCATCAGGAGAGGATAGGTAAAAAAAACAAACCACTCAAACAGCCCATATCCTACCTGCCCTCCTCCTCCTCTTCATCATCTATTTCAATATATTTGCGCTTGGCAGCTTTGCCAGGTGCAGAATTAATTTCTTTGGAAAGCTGGGCAAGACGGATTTTCTTGAAGTCTTCCTGAGTTAGCAGCCTGCTTGTACTGACTGCTGCAGCTTTGGCTTTCCGTTCCTCTATGGGCATGCTTTTCACTTTTTCTGCCTTTGGAAAAGAAAATGGTACAAAAGAATCAGAGCCTTGCACCCCACTCCTGTGCTACAATCCATGATCCTAGCCTCACAAACACACATCATGCAATGGCAATGGTGTTGGGAAATGCTACAACCAGATGTCAGGCCTTTTCCTTGTCTCATAGCCAACACCTAGTGTCTGAATGGAGTACACACACACCAGATTTTGGGAGTACAAGCTCTCAGCTGATGATCACAGCTCTGAAGGCATTGAGCCCTGAGCTATAACTCCTCCTTCTCCCCTCCCACCCTCACAGCATGTGTACTGCAGCAGCACTGCTGAACAGCACTTCAGCCTCACTGCTTCAGGATAGCTCACTCTGAAGGCCTGGGTAGGTATTTAAAAGCACTATGTGAGAGTGAAGAGCAGTAGGATCTGGTTTGTAATTAACAAGACTCATATGTATTTGGCATAGAAGAGACTTTCAACTCACTACTTGTTGCT